TTGCCGACTAAAATAGTTTAGTCACCGAATACCAAGCTTTTAGCGACTAAAAGGTAGTTTAGTCGCAGAATGTAGGGGTTTTAGCGACTAAAGGTTTTTTAGTAGCCAAAAGTGACGATTTTTGGCAACTAAAATAATTTAGTAGCCAAAAGTGATAGTTTTGGCGACTAAAAAACATTTTAGTCACCGATTATAGGTGTTTTTCCGACTAAAAAAAGATTAGTCGCTGAAAATGAAGGTTTGTGGCTACAAAAAAAAAATTAGTAGCTAAGAACAGTGAATTGGCGACTAAAATTCAGTTTATTAGCCAAAAGGACACGTTTTTGGTGACTAAAAACAGATTTAGTCGCCAAAACTACTATTTTTAATTTCAACTTGTTTTTTTACCGACAAAAAAAAAATTAGTAGCCCAAAAATCATAGAGTTGGCAACTAAATAATGGATTTAGTCGCCAAAAGTGGCCTAAAATTTTTTTTAATAAATAATTTATTTTTTACATAAGTTGTATTGAATTAAAATAATTATATTTATATATATTGTTTTGTATTAATACTGTCAATATATTATATAAATAATATATATTGCAAATATATTCATGTGATGTTGTAGTGGCATAGTGGAGGAAGTGTGTTGCAAAAAAGGTTGTAATGTGGGATGGTTGGGCACGGTTCGAAACTCAGAAAAACCAAAAAAAAGTGGTTTTTTTTTTTCCCGACGGAACACCTTTGGTGACTAATATTTTAGTCGCCAAAAGTCTTGATTTTGGCGACTAAGCCATTTAGTCGGCGATTGATTGAGTATTGGCGACTAAATTATTAGTCGGTAAATGTATGATTTTCAAAAGGCTAAAACACTATTGGCGACTAACATTTTAGTCGCAAAAGACCTGCCTTTTGGCGACTAAAAAAATATTAGTCGCCAATGCCTACGCCGACAACGTATACGCGACAAATGTGGCGACTAAAGAATTTTGTCGAGGAAAGTCAAATTTCGACTTTTGGTGACTAAAAACAGACTTTTGGCGACTAAAAATTTAGTCACCAAAAGTGACTTTTCTTGTAGTGATTCATGCCTGGCTTTTTGTGACAAATGACATGTCTTTATCGTACTGTTTGTTGACTTTATTATAGCACAAAGTCTTATGTATATTCATGTGTTGGGTAGCTCAAAAACTGATTGCCCCGAATGCCTTGATTATTTGATTGTCCCGAATGGCTCGATTATTGGAAGCGCGTCGTTTAAAACTTTTTTTTTTTTTTCCTTTTTTTTTCATTCCCTCTTGCTTCCTCTTTTTCCTTCCCCTGGGCAATCTAAAAAATTAAAGAAGAAGAAGAAGAAGAAGAGACCCAAAAAATCAAACAGTCCCAAAATCTAATATGAGAAAAAAAAAATCAAAATCAAAACTCAAAATCAAAATCTAAAATCAAATCCAATTGTTCCCCCCCCCCCCAATCTAAAAAATTAGGGAAGGAAGAAGAAGAAGAGCCCAAAAAAGTCAAGCCCAAAATCAAAATCTAAATCTAAAATCAAAATCTAAAATCAAAACCAATTTCAACAGCAAATTCAGCAGAAAAAAGAAGAAGAAGAAGAAGAAAAATAGCACTAATTTCAGCAAAAAACAGCTCTAATTTCAGCACAGAAACAGCCCCAATTTCAGTACAAAAACAGTCTCAATTTCATCACCAAAAAGCACCAATTTCAACATCAAAACAACAGCAAAACAGAAGCAATTTGAGCAAAAACAAGACCAAAACAGCAATTTCTTCTCCTCCTCTCCTCCTTCTCTTCCTCTCTTACTCCTCTATTTCCTCTCTTCCTCTGCTATTTCTCTCTTTCTCTCTGTTTGTTTGGGTTTGGTTCAACTTTTGAAAACGAAACGAGAAGTGGAAGGGAAAGGAGGAAAAAAAAAAAGTCAAAATGTCGTTTCCGAAAATCGAGCCATTCGAGGCAATGGGTTTCGAGCTACAACACATTTTCCTTTTGTTTACTTCAATATAGCATAAAGTCTTATGCATATTTATTACAGTACAAAAGGTGTTTTGAAAAGATTGTTAAAAGTTATTTTTTGATTTTTTTTATAAAAGACAGAAATGGGTTAAAAATTGAGAAGTGACCTTTACCTCATTTCCCGAGCCAAAGTCTTCTGTATATTCATGCTAGTTTTTTTTTTGTTTATTTTAAGTCTCGTTTGGGAGCTAGTTATTTTAATAATTTTTAAATTTTAACGAAAAAATATGCAAAAAAAAGTCTTATATGTATTCATGCCTAGTTAATATTAAGGATATCAATTTTTTTTAACTAAATAAATAATTAAGTATGTCACATGAATATGTGATCTATCACAAAACACGTTTAATTATTTATTTAATAAAAAATTTGCAACTTATAATATTTATCTGCATGGCCTTGATGACGGCAATATCATAAAGGAACAAAATGAAATGCGGTCATTACAATGTACAAAAAGTATTGTCAATCACAATTTCGTTAATTCAAAAGAGAAAAAAAAACCATTATATTAAAATAAACGGTGCATCACCGGTCTTTTGCGGGACCGATGAATTAATACTCCTTCCGTCTCAAAATATTAGTCCCTTATTCTATTTTTCATTGTCCCAAAATATTAGTCCCTCTTTATAAATCAAGTACAAAAATAATGTAAATTTCCTATTTTGCCATTCTTTTAAATTAATAAACAATTTAAAAAGTACAATTATGACATTGATATTCTCAAAAAATGTACTATCAAAAGGGTAATTTTGGAAAACCAACTTTTTTCAAATGCAATAAGTGTACTATCAAAAAAAGTTAGATTCCCCAAAAGGGACCAATATTTTGGGACGGAGGGAGTATATATATTTAGATACATATTTTTTAATATAGTGTATTATATACCTTCTTAATTATATCATTTTTTAAATTATAATTAATTTTATTATTTAGTTATGGCATTATTTTAGTTGTGATTCATGAGTTCTTTAGTTACATCACATGTTGTGTTTAGTTATAACACTTTTTTTTAATTATCACTCAAAAAATATAAAATTATATCATTTTATTCTTTAATTATAAGGTGTATATGATACACACATTTTAAAAGGTGTGTACCATACTATTTCCCCTAAAAAAAAAAAAAATTACACTCAGTGTGTTTGGTTTGAATTTTCTGGATTAAATTTTTTGAAAATTGATTTTTTTAGTTTTCGTATTTTTTTGTTTTTAGTGAATATTTTTTAAATTTTAAATATTTTTTTTACTTTTTTAGATGCATCTTACTTAGATGTATCTAAAAAGTAAAAAGTTTGTGAAAAAATATTTTACAAAATTAATAAATACATAAAAATATAAAAAATGTACTGAATTTTTTTTTTGTATTTTTGGTATTTAGTGAATTTTTAATAGATTTTTTTTATAATTTTTTTACTTTTTAGGTGTATTTATATTAGATGTATCTAAAAAGTAAAAAAATTCCTGAAAATATTAAAAAAATTCTATAAAAACAAAAAAATACGAAAAATAAAAAAATAAAATTTTTTATTTTTTTACTTTTTTAGATGCATCTTACTTAGATGTATCTAAAAAGTAAAAAGTTTGTGAAAAAATATTTTAAAAAATTAATAAATACATAAAAATACAAAAAATGTACTGAATTTTTTTTTTTTTGTATTTTTGGTATTTAGTGAATTTTTAATAGATTTTTTTATAATTTTTTTACTTTTTAGGTGTATTTATATTAGGTGTGTCTAAAAAGTAAAAAAATTCTATAAAAACAAAAAAATACGAAAAATAAAAAAATAAAATTTTTAAAAAAATATTATTTGAAAAGTGAAAACAAGCAGGATAAGTCAGCTCTCTATTATCTTGAAATAAGCCTAAGGTGGTTTTGAATACAATTTACAAGTTAATTTTTTTATTTATTATAGAAAGGCGTGCAATACTATTCCAAAAAGTTAGAACCTTCAAAAATAATCATCATTTTGAGACGTTTTCAGACGTGATGTCTAATGAAATTTTGAAACTTCTTTACTTGATAGTGACAATTATAATTTATTTACTTTGTTATAGCATAAAGTTTTATGTATATTTATGTCTAAATAATATTAAAAATATCAAATTTTATATTAAATAAATTACTAAATATCATGCATGAATATAAGATTCATACTTTTATAAATCTCATGCTTATATAAAATATTTTTTTTTGATCAGGAAAAAAGAGAAAGTTTATTGATGACAAACACATGTATTATTGTTCAAATTGTGAAATTAGTTAGAATCTTCAAAAATAATCATCATTTTGAGACGTTTTCAGACGTGATGTCTAATGAAATTTTGAAACTTCTTTACTTGATAGTGACAATTATAATTTATTTACTTTGTTATAGCACAAAGTCTTATGTATATTTATGTCTAAATAATATTAAAAATATCAAATTTTATATTAAATAAATTACTAAATATCGTGCATGAATATAAGATTCATACTTTTATAAATCTCATGTTTATATAAAATATTTTTTTTTTCAGGAAAAAAGAGAAATTTTATTGATGACAAACACATGTATTATTGTTCAAATTGTGAAATTAAATAAATAAATTCACGAATAAATTAAAAAAAAATACCATGAACATATGCTGAGAATTACAACTAAATTACAATAAAAATACACAATATAATAAAATGGTAAAGAAAGCAAACCGAAGCCAACACGGTAGCAGTTTCCTTAAAACAGAGTTCACCGCCTCACGGGTCGAATGCTTGAGGAATTCTAGTGTCTGTCTCCCAGGATACAATTGTCAAAAACCAACTACGGCAGAAACACTTTCTGTCTAGCTTAGCGAACAAAATCATGGCAGCACTCTCTCATTGTAAGAACTTTCTAGCAAACTGACTTGTAAAAAGAAAGCAAAAATTTTTGTGTTTGAGACTTGACAGGACGGTCTCAATTTATACATGTATAGGGGAGAGGGGAGAAGCCTCCAGCCTTTATGGCTGGTCACTAATGCACCATTAACTTTTTTGCAATAAAGGTAGGAGTTATAAACCCCATTAGTGCACTATTAAACTCTGCAATAAAGGCAGAAGTTACAAACCCTATTAATTCTTTCCTGAACTTGTTGTTCAAATTGTGAAATTAAATAAATAGATTCACGAATAAATTAAAAAAAAAAAATACCAAGAACACATGCTGAGAATTACAACTAAATTACAATAAAATGGTAAAGAAAGCAAACCGAAACCTGCACGGTAGCAGTTTCCTTAAAACATATTTCGCCGCCTCACGGGTCGAGTGCTTGAGGAATTCCGGCGTCTGTCTCCCAGGATACGATGGTAAAAAACCAGCTACGACAGAAGCACTTTCTATCTAGCTTAGCGAACAAAACCATGGCAGCACTCTCTTACTGTAGAAACTTTCCAGCAAACTGACTTGTAAAAAGGAAGCAAAAATTTCTGTGTTTGAGATTTGATAGGAGGGTCTCAATTTACACATGTATAGGAGAGAGAGGAGAAGCCTCCAGCCTTTATGGCTGGTCACTAATGCGCCATTAACCTCTGCAATAAAGGTAGGAGTTACAAACCCCATTAATGCACTATTAAACTCTACAATAAAGGCAGAAGTTACAAACCCCATTAACTCTTTGATGAAGCTAACTTCATGGGGCAATTTCTCATTCAATTCTCAATGGTTTTTGGCCATTCTATTTGTGGTGTAAAGATCTCATTGCAAAGTATCTAGACCTACTTGCACCCAACACCATAGACGGTTGGGACCCACTTTAATATTTAATTAAAGTCACCAAAAATCTATTTTTTCCAACATGCATTACATATGAGAATACACCAATAAAGGAGAGGAAGAGCCCAAAGCATCATAGCAAACTAACTCAATCCCAACTAGGTTGGCACTGAGTAGAAAGCACAATCATCTGCAAGCTCAACCACAAAGGGTTTGAGAGAAATCAAACCCAGCAAACACCTCCCCCTCCCTCCTCCAAAAAAAAAAAAAAAAAAAAAAGAAACCCAAGCTACCTTCCTATAGGATTAACCAAAGACAAAACACCCATGCCAACCAAGAACTCCACCTTGCATGCTGCCAACACAGCCTCAATACCAACAATCTCAAACAGTCTGTAGAACCAACATTTCAAAGCAGAAACAACCTAGCAGAAGAAAAATAGCAGCACCTCCACCATAGAAGAAAAACAACCTAGCAACTCCTGACTTATTGAGAAAACCACCACACCAGCAGCCACAAAAATAACAGAACAGAGTGAAACCCCACCAGAACCATAGCAAAACAACAAAAAAACAGCAAAATCAGAATCAAGTTGGTGAGGCACCAACAAGGGGAGAAATGAGAATAAAAAAGAAACCAACACATCAAAGTAGACCAAACAGCCAAAGGATCAATTAATCCTTACTGATACACCTTCTAATCTGATGGAGATTGAAAACAAAGTCATAAATAAGATACTGCGACTCCCTAGATGTTGTTCTTAGCCAAAGAGCCACTCTATACTTAATAAGATCAGAGAGAATCTCTACATCAGCTACTGCATTATTGAATACACAGTCATTTCTTTGCTTCCAAAGAGACCAAAGGGTTACAAGAGGGACACATCTCCAAATCACATTCTCTCTCTTCTTAAACTTTCCACCCTCCTACCACTGTAACAAACAATCAACTGTGCCAGGCATTACCCAATATAGACCCCACCATTCTAACAAGGACAACCATACCTTGCACACAAAATGGCAATGAAGGAGCACATGTAACACTGACTCCTCATCATGCTTACAAAAGCAACACAGGATAGAAGTTCCTCTAGGGAGGACCCCTATTTTCTGAAGGAACACAGAGGTCTTAACCTTATGTTTCAAAGCAGGCGAGCAAAAGGACTGGGCTTTAGAGGGTAAAACCTTATTCCACAGCATTCTATAAGCATCCAGTTGATTTCTAACACCACTTGAACAGAGCTTATACAACGAAGCTACTGAAAAGAGACCTGATGATGTGGCTGACCACTTAGGGTAATCAACTCTCTCCATCGTAATTAAGGGACCAGGAGAGATAATAGAGACCAGTCTCAGCAAATCAGCTCTTTCCCATTCAAACAACTCTCTTCTAAATAATAGGTTCCATTCCCCTGAGGTTGCCTTTAGATCAACAAAAAATCTAAGAGCTCCTTTTTTTTCCTTTGACAAGCTAAACAATCTTGGAAATTCAACTCTCATACAGTGGCCATCACACCACATATCCTTCCAAAATCTTACCCTACAGCCATCTTCCACCTACACTTTGAAATTATTAAGAAAGCACTCCAACAGAGAAGGGTAAAGAGAGGCCAATAAGGTAATATCTTGCCATAATTTTGACTGCCTCTGGCTATCACCAGAATTCAGCAACCAGCAACACTCCTCAGTGTTGTATTTACTGCAGATTACTTTTCTGCACAATGCTTTTGACTCACAAGCAAACCTTCACCACCACTTCAGTAACAAACAGGAATTAATAACTCTAACCTTCCTAATGCCCAACCCTCCATTAGCAATACTTCTGGTGACCTCCTCCCATTTGACTAGGTGAACCTTCCTTTTGAGATCTGAGCCACCCCATAAAAAAGTTGCTTGGATTCTTTCAAAATCCTTAGCCACTCCCTCCGACATTCTATACAGAGATAAATAGTAAATTAGTAAGCAAGAGAGAACTGGCTTAATCAAAGCCAACCTACCCACAAATGACAACATTCTCCTCTTCCAACCTGCCATCCTAGCTTTAACTTTCTCAATAACTGGTTTCCAGGTCTTCCTCTTGCCAGGACTTGCCCCCAAAGGAAGCCCAAGATAACTCAATGGTAATGAGCCAGCCTTACAATTCAGTTTAATAGCAAAATCTGCCAGGACATCAGATTCCACTCATACTCCACAAACCACAGTCTTATGATAGTTTATTTTCAACCTAGCTATTAACTCAAAACATCTTTGGATCCTCTTTATATTGACTACTTCCCCTTCATCAGCCTCACAGAATAGGATAGAATCATCTGCAAATTGCAAATGGGACATAAGAACTCCATTAGCCCTTACCCTTACACCTTTAATTAAATTCATTTCTAATGCTCTGGACAATAGAACATTCAGACATTCTGCCACTATAATGAATAGAAAAGGAGAAAGAGAGTCACACTGCCTTAGCCCTTTTTGGGGAAAGAATTCATCAGTGGGAGAACCATTCACAAGGATTGATAGCCTAGCTGAGGAGATGCACTCTCTAATCCAAGCAATCCACCTATCACCAAAACCAAATCTAGACAACATAAAGAAAAGGAATTCCCAATCGACAGAATCATAGGCCTTTTCAAAGTCAAGTTTCAAAATCAAACTCTTCCTTTTGGCCTTTTTCCACCCATCAACAACCTCATTTGCTATTAGAACTCCATCCAAAATAGTCCTGCCACTTAGGAAGGCAGATTGAGCTTCACTAATTATTTCTGGAAAACCTTTCCAAGTCTACATGATAACACCTTTGATAAAATTTTGTACAAAGAACCCACAAGCTCACCAAAACCAAATCTAGACAACATAGAGAAAAGGAATTCCCAATTGACAAAATCATAGGCCTTTTCAAAGTCAAGTTTCAAAATCAAACTCTTCCTTTTGGCCTTTTTCCACCCATCAACAACCTCATTTGCTATTAGAACTCCATCCAAAATATTCCTGCCACTTAGGAAGGCAGATTGAGCTTCACTAATTATTTCTGGAAAACCTTTCTAAGTCTACATGATAACACCTTTGATAAACTTTTGTACAAAGAACCCACAAGACTTATGGGCCTAAAATCTTCCAAAGCCACTGCATTCTCTTTTTTAGGCACTAAGGTTATAAAAGAACAATTGATACCCCCAACCAATTTACCATGAGTATGAAACTCCTTCATAAATTGGATCACTTCCCCCTTTATCAACTTCCAATGCTTCTGAAAGCATAACAGGTTAAACCCATCTAGGTCTGGAGCCTTGTTACCATCACAATTTTTTATGGCCGCCCATAGCTCTTCCTTTACAAATTCTGCTTCTAGCATTTTGAAAGGCCTGAATGTTCGTTACAGATCTGCATACACCATCTAGGGTTGGTCTGTATTTCCATTCCTCTGAGAAGTGCTTCTTAAAGTGTCTATACACTTCTTGTTTAACTTCCTCAGGATCTTCAAACACCCTATCCCCAACAGTAACAGAATTAAGCCCATTCATGCTTTGCCTACTAGTAGCCATTACATGGAAATATCTAGTGTTCTTATCCCCCTTCAAAGCCCAGTCGAGTCTTGCTTTTTGAAGCCACATCCACTCAACCCTTCTACTTAGCTTCCAAACCTCACTATTCACCACTTTTCTTCTTGCCTTCTCAGAATCTACTAGAACTCTTGTTTCTGCTAGCAAATTGTAGACGTCCCCGAACGCCCAGGGAGGGTGAGGTCCCGTTCTGTTCGTTTTGCGGGTCTACTACAGTTCGGACTCAAATTGTCACGGTTCTTAATCTGAACCAAAGAGTCCAAATATGGCAAATCGGTTTGAGAAATAGATTTTTGAAAAGAAGTGCCAAACATGGACTGCTTTGCCAGATACAGAGTCGCCACCTAAATATTTTTATGGGGGAATTTAGGAAACCCTGACTCGGTGCCAAAGGCTACGTGTCCGTCTTCACCCAAGTTGCCTCGGCTCGGGAGCTTGGGTACGATTGGGGAAGGTCAGCTATGAGAACCCCCTCTTGCCGATCCGAAGATCGGCCTCTACTAACCATGATATCCAATTCTGAAAACGTTATGCGTTCTTATTCCGGTTATTAGCCTAAATTTACTATGTTATGCGCACAACAAAAAAGTATAGACCAAATCGCCTAAATTGGAACAAAACATTTCATGTTTGTTTTGAAAATGGTTTGCTACTCGCAAGTAGGCTAAAATGCAGGTTTTGCCACCCTCAAGTAGGTTTTTAGAAAAGATGGTTTTACCACTATCTAGTGGGATTAAAACTCACAGTTTTAATGCATTATTCCAATTTTGGTAATTCAACCTTCATCCACAGGCATTCAAGCAGTTATATCACATAATCAGCTAGCCTCATGGTAATCATGCAATTATGGAAACACTCACACGCATGCGGTATGCTAAAGCGAAAGAACTTACAGAGTACTCCAAGCCAAAACAAAAACTAGTTAGTAATCATATGCATGATCTTAGTTCATGTTTAAAATGGCTAATGCAACACATGCAAGATGCAACTATGATAGGCTCGGCTATCCTAAACGTAGCATGTGAAATGCTGCAATTAACAAGTACTCAACTTTGGAACTGAAATACAAGTGCAGTTAGCATGATGTGCCGAGCCCGGTGCATGTAAGACAAATGTATGGATGCACGCATGCATAGCATAAGGTATGCTAAATTAAACATGTCCTAATACTAACCATCAAAGCAGGTAAGTAAAAAGGAGAAAGAAGTGGGGATTAGAAGACATGTACACACGCACCCACACTTATTACAAATACGCTCTCACTCGGAGGGACCGAATAAATATTACAGTCCGAATAAATAACTAACTACTTATTTAATTATTACAAAATTCCTATTTAATTAACAAATTAAATGCAAGGTGGCCACGGTCCCCGCCTCGGGATGCGCGAATGATGCATGCTTGACCCATATCGCCCGGAAACTCGCTGCCATAGCACTACTGCCTCTGTTTTCACTGCCATTTCTTCTCTGAAAA